AATAATAATAATAATAATAATAATAATAATAATAATAATAGTAATAATCATTGTATCGAATTTAAAGATTACTGATAACAGATGAATTTTTAATTGCTTGTTAAGAAGTTTCTTTTCGAAGTTTACAATTCTCATTTTTTAACATAAAGCATATTATTTCGTTTAAAGTTAAAATATTATAATTAGTAAATAAATGAATCTTTACTAAAAAATATTACTTACCTGTAAGTAAGAGAACTTTTCTCCCATTTAGGTCCCATCAATGCGAATCGTTTTCGATTTCTGCGATATCGCAGCAATTTTTGCATTGGACGATCATTTAAACCACATCTATGTACATCACCTATCATTGTTCATCATAATCTATTGACTTTCAAAAATACAATGAACATGAGTAAGAATTCACGTTAATGCGAATGGAAATAAAGTTACGCAAAAATTTAATTCTTTCTCAATACCTCTTCCTAGACATTAGTTCTTGAGTAGAAGCATCAATTTTGCCCGTGACTGGTATTTTTCCATATAACTGCAGTTCTCGAATTGCTTCTTCTATCACTGTTTCACTTAACATTGCAGCAACACCTGATGGTGGCTTTGGTAGATATCCAAATTGTTGAAGATATTCAACCCAAAATTATTTTTGTATTTTAAAATTATTAAATTACAAGACATTGGTTTTTTTCATACTTATGTTTTTAATAACCAAAAATTTTAAATAAATTTATAAATATACGAAAAAGTGAAAACTTCAAAAGTTTTACTTACTGCTTGTCTATTATAAGCTTCTGTTATTTGAAATAAAAAATACAGCAATACTGTTGAATATATTATGCTCAAGAAGAATGCCATGCTTTATCTGCTGTTATTCAAATTTATAAATATTTCATTTCTCAAAAATTTCCATTATGTCTTGAGAAGCATTTCTTGCCATAAATATTACTCTAATTTCGCATTAATATGCTGAAAAAAATTCGATTTATTTAATACGCAAAAGTTAGCAATTCGTTATAATTGTGTAAATTTTCACGTTTATTTTACAATTAATATTTAAAAATAATAAAAATTTTTCCTACGAAATTTACAATTACAGATGAAATAATTGAAATAAACCACTATAATTACATATTATTTTGCTAATAATTGTTACAGAAAGTATTCAAATTACAAATAAAAAATAGCAAAGTAAATAAAATAGCAGCATCAAACAGTAAGTGATTTTTATGCATAATGAAATTATAGAAATGAGGCGCAAAGGTGAATATCATTTTTTCAGGACAATACCGCCCTAATGTGAATTGCAGGAAATTGCAGTATTTCACTTTATTTTTACTAATAAAAAACGCCTGAAACCTTGATTACGGCAATAAAAAAGAAAACAATGGATGAAATTTTTTTTAAAATGAAATTTGTTGTTATAGCAATAATTTTGTCTTTTTCAAATTCAAAAAGATTCTATCAATCTTCTTATTATCATAAAATTTTATGATTTTCCGCTCTACTGCACACTAATTGTGCATAATTGGATTTTGTATTGCACATTGTGAAGCTAATTTTTTCAAAAAAAATATGAAACTACGTATGGTTTTGACGGAAAATTGATCTACTGTCTTATTTTTGCACCAAAATAATGTTTAATTAAACAACAAAATCAAATTACTGACTGTCTTTTTAATGTTTATAATAAATATTAAAAATTTGCTACGCTAAATTTATACTTTATAGCAACAGATAATGCATAAAACTGCTTTAAATTTAAAATGAATTTTATGGCTTAAAAAACAATAGCTTTATTGTAAAGTTCAAATTTTAAAAATTTGTAATATTACACAAGTCAAAATATTAAAAAGATAAATAAATTCTCACATTCAGATGTTTTAATCAATAAATATTTCTCACGTAATCACTTGGTATTTTTCACGTAATTAAACAAAACATTTACATGATAAAAAAATCTCAGTGAACTTTGTAAAAAAAAAATAATGAAAAATTGTTTTAGTAAATATGCTAAGAGCAATTTTTGCGAGCAAAAAATTTGACTTGGCATATTTTGGACAAATCTTGCAAATTTAGTTGATTTTTCTTTTGCTAACACAACAAGAACAATAAATGTCTAAATATTTTGTTTATGCAAATTACATCTAAAAAAGGCATTCAAACAAAGAATTCTGATTAATTGATTAATAAGTAAATAAGTCTTTAATAATTCATAAAATTAGATTCCATTCAAAACAATTACATCAGAAAGAGACTGCAGCACTACTTTCATTGCAAATAATACTTTCAGTAATTAATTAATAATTACTGGTAACATTAGATACTCAAATAATTATTAAGACAGTAGTAATTCAAACGATTAGCAGACTGACAGTACGAGCAATGACAAATGTTTTATCTCACGGAGACATTCCTGGCCTAAAATAATTTTGGTCAGCTGCTCTCCTCAATAAAGCCAACATAATTTGCATAAATTATATCAAAATGAGTCATAATGTGGCGTTAAAAAAGAAAAGCTTCTCCTTTGTCGTTTTTTCATTACTTTTTCTACACACTTCCAAAGTTTTATTTCTTATTATTTGCTTAATATTATAAATTGGAGGGAAAGAACGAGGCTGTCAGTTCCATAAAAGTAAAATGACATTGGTAGATTTTATTGATAAAAAAAGTTGATTCATAAAAACTATAATTATTTTTAGGTTTTTTTTGCAGCTAAAATTGAATGTGAAAAAGAGTTACATCGTTTAATGTTTTTATAGTTAAATAAAATTTGTCTAAAATTACTGCCAATATTAAAAATATGAAAAATTAGCAAAAATAAATTCTCATACATTCTAATAATAAATTAGCAAAGTAACTTATAATAATTGCAATAGCGGAATAATTTTCTTTAGCTTAGCTTTAATTTACATTTGTATTCTTCTGTTTTGCTAAACTTGAATAGAAATAGTAGTAAGATATGATATATTCATAATCCATCTAATAAAATATACTAATAATTTTTCTTGGTATTATATTTGCATTTTTAATAATCGAATGCAAACGTAAGAATTTAAATTGAGTACTTTTTTAATTTTCAAATCCTTTACAAAGTTTACGAGCGAGTAATAAAATAATATTGGAAAGATACTTAAATTGCTATCTATCTAAAGTCATTAACTGAACCGATTTTTATACAAATTTAATTTGCAAAAATCTGATAAAAAATTTTACATTTTATGCATAAAATTTCTGTGGATCAAAAATTAAAAAACATAAAAGTATAAAAAATCATATTTTTAAGTAAAATATTGATAAAACATTTATTGATTGTATGCAGTATTCACTGAGAAGCACCATTTACTCACGCATACATTTTAGAGTATCTTTATATGAAACTAAAACTATTAAACTTGATATTAAAAAATGTATTTAAAGAATATTAACAAAATATATTTTATCATTAACTGGGTCTCTTGATGATAA